CTCTGCCACTTGGCCGTCGTGCTGTCGGAGCCCCAGTCGCTGCGGCCGTCCACGGGGCGCCAGAGGACGAAGCAGGCGCTGACGTTGGGCTCCCGCGAGAGCTCCTGCCGAGGAGGGCGAGGGGGGCACGCGGGCGCGGGGGGGGGGGGAAGCGGCGAGGGGCGGGAGAGAGAACGGGCGAGCGAGCCTGCCCACAGGCGGCCCAAGGAGGCCGGCAGGCGCGCTCGCTTCCCAGAAGGCCGGGCTTCGGGAAGCCCTTGGGAGAAGGCGACCAAACGGGAACGGCGCGGCACTGCCGCACTGCCACACACGCACACACTTTTGGCGTCGCGGCCACGCGCGCGGCGGCGCGACGTAGACTCACAAGCATACACACACACACACACACACACACGACGAAGAAGAAGGCAGGGACGGATCAGGAACGGGGGGGCAGGAGAGAGATAGAGAGAGAGGAGGGGGCGGAACTCGACCCCTGCTCCTCCCCTGAGATATCCGACGGCTCGAAACAGCTGCACCGCCGCAAAACACCACGACCGGAGCCCCGGACCCCCCCTCCTGCTGCGCCGCATCTCTCGACCCGCCTCGACCCCGCGAGGGCCTCCCGGGGCCCGACGCCGGGAGCACACGCCCCGCGCGGAGAAAAAAACAACAACAAAAAAAAAAAAAAGCGAGGCGCGCCGGGCTCTCGGGGCCGGCCCTCCTTCCCCAGACGAGCGCGTGCCACTGCTCGCGCACAGCAGCTGCTCGCGCATGGCCTGGACCCGCCGCGGGGGCTCTATAGACTAATCGCATCGAAGCAGCCACGTGTTCTGCCGGGCGTTTGCGAGTGGGCACTTCCCAGACATACGACGCCCTGATCTTCTCAGGACGGCGTCCCTGGAAGTCCCGACCCTTTCCCCGGGACCGGCTTTTCATCCTGAGTCATTTTTTGACGGTCCTGGGGCCCGGCGAGGGCCTCCAGTGGTCGAAAATCCGCCGGCCCCCTTGTGGGGCCACCAGGCTGTAGGGCGAAGGTTCGCAGTTTCCTGAACCAGTTGCAGCTTCCAGTTTCCACTGTTACAGTTCTGCTTCTTGCTGCTTAATGTTTCTTGTTACAGTTCTGCTTCTTGCTGCTTACTGTTCCTTGTTGATGGACCGCGCGAGGGGGGGAGGCCCAAAACAGGCATTTTTACCACGCCCTGAGCGTGTGCTCTGAATTGCTGGGGTGGGTATTTACACCCTTCACGCAGATCGGCGGGGTCAGGGTCCAAAAACACTAGGGAGTTGCCACATGTCTGAAATGCGGTGGCACCCCTCACGCAGATCGGCGGGGTCAGGGTCCAGAAACACAAGAAATGTGCCACATGTTTTAAAATTCGGATGCACCCCTCACGCAGATAGGCGGGGTCAGGGTCCAAAAATACAAGTGATTTGCAACATTTCTGACATTCGGTGGCACCCCTCACACAGATCGGCGGGGTCAGGGTCCACAAACACAAATGATTTGCAATATTTGTAGCATCCGGTGGCACCCCTCACGCAGATCGGCGGGGTCAGGGTCCAAAAGCAAACGGGATTTGCCACATTTCTGAAATTCGGTGGCACCCCTCACGCAGATCGGCAGGGTCAGGGTTCAAAAGCACAGGGGAGTTACCACATTTCCGAAATTCGGTGGCACCCCTCACGCAGATCGGCAGGGTCAGGGTCTCAAAACACAGGGGATTTGCCACATTTCTGAAATTCGGCGACACCCCTCACGCAGATCGGCAGGGTCAGGGTCCAAAAACAAATGGGATTTGCCAGATTTCTGAAATTCAGCGACACCCCTCACGCAGATCCGTAGGGTCAGGGTCCAAAATCTCAAGGGATTTGCCACATTTCTGAAATTCGGAGGCACCCGTGACGCAGATACGCAGAGTCAGGGTCGAAAAACAAACAGGTCCGGACACTGCTTCACGGCGGCGCCCAGACCTCATGATTTAGCGCTTGCATCTCCCATCATCCGAGACAGGGGGCCGGCAGCATGGGGCGAAGCCCTTACGGATAAGGAAAAACCTCCCGTCCTGATTTTTTTACGACGCCATCATTCGGGTCGGGCGAAAGGGGGGATAGCAAAGGGGAGGTTTGAGAATCAGCTCACGTAGCTGATTTTCCCGAGCTGTGTATCGAGGAATGAGCCCCTCGGTGAGGCCGAAACCAGCTGCATGCAGCAAATTTCGAAACCCCCCCTTTCCCAATCCTCCTCCTCCTCCTCCTCCTCCTCCTCCTCCTCCTCTTCTTCTTCTTCTTCTTCTTCTTCTTCTTCTTCTTCTTCTTCTTCTTCTTCTTTTTCTTCTTCTTCTTCTTCTTCTTCTTCTTCTTCTTATTATTATTATTATTATTATTATTTTTCTTATTATTATTATTCTTATTATTCTTCTTATTATTATTCTTATTATTCTTCTTCTTATTATTATTATTCTTCTTATTATTCTTATTATTATTATTATTATTCTTCGTCTTATTATTATTTTTATTA